AAATTGGCTGTTGAGCTTGACACAGGAGTGCCATGGGTTATGTGCAAGCAAGATGATGCCCCTGATCCTTTGGTTGGTTTTTATGTTTGTCCTGCAATGTGGCTCATCTGCCATTTTCCACTTCTAAATCCGTTTTTTGAGTTTTCTTCTTGTTTCTATGGTGCCTCAGGTTAATGCTTGCAATGGGAGGCAATGTGGAGAAACATTCAAAGGACCCAATTCACCAAACAAACCTGCAATATGGACTGAGAACTGGACGAGTTTGTATGGTCTTTATTCACATTCACTACATTGTTGTGTACTTCCCATTCTCCAGATAAAAAAATTAACTGCCAGCTGCTCCCTTTGTATAGTTATCAAACATATGGTGAGGAACCATTGATAAGGTCAGCTGAGGATATAGCATTCCATGTTGCTCTCTTCATCGCCAAGAATGGAAGTTTTGTTAACTACTACATGGTACTTTTTCCAGTCTCACTCTCTGTTTTTTTTTTAAAAAAAAAAACTCTAATGTATAAGAGAAGCAATAATGATTTTACACTGTATCTTATTTTAGTATCATGGAGGAACAAACTTCGGGAGAAATGCTTCACAGTTCGTAATCACCAGTTATTATGATCAGGCTCCACTTGATGAATATGGTAATATTTCAAACCATTCACTCTCAAAATCAGATATTGATTTGAAAGTACAACATAAATGGTTGGTGCTGCAGGATTACTTAGGCAACCAAAATGGGGACACCTGAAGGAATTACATGCTGCAGTTAAGTTGTGTGAAGAGCCTCTACTTTCAGGACTGCAAACTACAATATCACTGGGGAAGCTACAAACTGTAAGTAAATTCCAACAGTGTCTTAACCTGTTTGATTTTTCATGAAGAATGTTGTTATAGTGATCTTGATCTCTTATTTAACAGGCTTTTGTGTTTGGGAAGAAGGCGAACCTATGCGCTGCCTTACTTGTGAATCAAGACAAGTGCGATTGTACTGTACAGTTTCGTAATTCTTCATATCGTTTGTCTCCAAAATCTATAAGTGTCCTGCCAGACTGCAAGAATGTAGCCTTCAACACTGCCAAGGTAAGCTCATACATCAAGACTATCATACACACAGATTTCTTGTGATAAATTCATTTTTATTTCGTGTTGTGGATAGGTCAATGCGCAATACAACACGAGAACAAGGAAACCAAGACAAAATTTGTCTTCTCCTCACATGTGGGAGAAATTTACAGAAACTGTCCCAAGTTTCAGTGAAACGTCAATAAGATCAGAATCCTTGCTTGAGCACATGAATACAACACAGGATACTTCCGATTATCTGTGGCAAACAACTAGGTAAAGCCAATTATATCCCGTAAAATATACTTCATTAGGCAAGATAAGTAGTACATTCTCTGTTAGGTATTCTTTAAGATATAATTTTTCTTTTGCAATAAAGGTTTGAGCAATCTGAAGGAGCTCCATCAGTTCTTAAAGTCAACCATCTTGGACATGTTCTACACGCCTTTGTTAATGAGAGATTCATAGGTATGCCTTTTTACCGTTGAATCCGACTCAAGGTTAGAGGTTTTTGGCATCATCAAAGTTAAATGCTTCTAACTTTGTGTTCTATTTAGGTTCTATGCATGGAACTTTCAAAGCGCATAGTTTTTTGCTAGAGAAAAATATGTCACTGAATAATGGCACAAATAACATGGCATTACTCAGCGTAATGGTAGGATTACCGGTGAGCCCCAGTCTTTCCTCCTGAACTTCTTCAATATTTGCTCCAAATAGAGTACTTCTACATCAGTATCTGTAGCAAATATCAAAACACCATCTGGAGTACATTTTTTCTGACGGTGTATCTCTTTGGAACACAGAATTCAGGAGCACATCTAGAAAGGAGAGTCGTTGGATCACGGAGCGTAAATATTTGGAATGGAAGTTATCAACTGTTCTTCAACAACTATAGTTGGGGATATCAGGTAAAACTTATGAGTTTTATTCTTCAACAGAACTTATCTCCTTCATGTTAACTGATACTAGCTCAAAATCGTTGTGGAGGTTGGGCTGAAAGGGGAGAAATATCATGTTTACACTGAAGATGGGGCCAAAAAAGTTCAGTGGAAGCAGTACAGAGACTCCAAAAGTCAGCCTCTAACTTGGTACAAGGTAGAACAACAAAATAGTAAAATAGTACTAGTTCAATATATTACTCAAAACTTTCGATCTCTGAGGTATTTTATATCTACAGGCCTCATTTGACACACCAGAGGGGGAAGATCCGGTGGCCTTGAACTTAGGATCAATGGGAAAAGGTGAAGCTTGGGTGAATGGCCAGAGTATTGGTCGGTACTGGGTCTCTTTTTATACTTCCAAGGGGAACCCTTCTCAGATATGGTATGATATTGTTCACTCTCCTTTTTGAATGATCTTGGTATATTAGCTGAATGTTATTTTTTGAAGCTATGTTTTCCTATTTTTAGGTACCATATACCGCGATCTTTTCTTAAACCCAACAGTAACTTACTAGTCATTTTGGAAGAAGAAAGAGAAGGGTATCCTCTTGGTATAACTATAGACACAGTGTCAGTCACTGAAGTCTGTGGTCATGTCTCCAATACACATCCTCATCCTGTGATATCTCCGAGAAAGAAAGGCCACAACCGAAATGAACAGAGACATCTAAAATACCGGTATGATAGAAAGCCTAAGGTTCAGCTCCAGTGTCCTACTGGCAGGAAAATTTCAAAGGTATTGTTTGCAACCTTTGGCAATCCAAATGGAAGTTGCGGGAGCTATTCTGTTGGAAGCTGTCACTCACCCAACTCTTTAGCTGTTGTACAGAAGGTAAGCTACTATTGTCCCTGTAAATTCTACCTGTTCTCTGAAATCGTAAAAACCCAAACAAGAGGTTCTTGTGAATTTGTGCAGGCGTGTCTGAGAAAAAGTAGGTGTTCTGTACCAGTATGGAGCAAAACATTTGGCGGTGATTTATGTCCACAGACTGTTAAATCTCTGCTTGTTCGTGCACAATGCTCATGAGAGTCCAATTAGTTAGTATAGATTTCTGTTCCCTTTTTCTTTATCTTTCTTATTATGAACAAATAACAATAGTATTAGTGAAATATTACAAAAGCACAATACAAGGTTTGAGTTCCTCAAAAAATATTCGGGAAACATCTGAATAGCTCTCAAATTGGTGCACCTGCCGACAGTCAGTCTCCATTTAGTTAGTTGATCAGTTAGATCTTCCGGTGGCTCCGGCTTAAACTAAGTCGATATTTAGCGATTCAATCAAACTATCTAATGCATCATGAAAGCCATGCAAATTTGAGCATGAATTATACCAACATCTATCAGATTTCCTCCATTGCATAATTTTGATTCATGTCAATCTCGTGAAAATCCGATTTTTGGACAACGTCCTTTCGAGCCATGACCGGTTTGATCTTCATGACTCTTCTATATCTCTGTTGTATTCCTTCCCTCATTCTCTTATGCAGCTCTTCATCAAGTGTACCCGCCATTCCTTCTGAGCTCAGAGCATCCCACACCAACTTATAAGTATACTCTCTCGGAACCAACCCAGCCTCCACCATCTCCACCAGCAAATCCCGAGCCTCAGCCGCTCTCCTGGTCTCAACAAGAGCGTGTATTAGCGGTGTGTACGTGCTTGAACCAGGTACACCATGACCCATCTTCTTCATTGTCCTCATCATCTCGATTGCACCTTCTATCTCATTGGTAACACTGTAATACCTTATGAAAGAATTATAAGTCACCTGGTTCGGTACACACCCTTTTGTCTTCATATCTTCAAACAGCTCGAGAGCCCGACCAATCCGATTTGTTTTGCAACATCCATCGATCAAGCAATTATAAGTTACCACATCGGGTACAAACCCTCTGAACAGCATTTCCCTAAACATTCGATTAGCCTCCCACATTCTCCTCCTTATGGCCTTTCTGCATCCGGTTTGCATCCCATATCTACAATACGAGCTAATTAAAATGGTGTAAGTATAGGTATCCGGTGGGTATCGAAAACCGGGCAATTGCATCTGATCCAACAGAAATCTCGCTTTTTTGAAATTCCCCACTCGGCAGAGAGCATTGATAATTGTATTGTAAGCATAAACATCAGGTTTGCAGTGATATTCCTTCATCCGATAAAAAGTAGCTAATGCCTCTTTCACAAAACCTTCTTCTCCTAGGCATTTCATCAAACACGTTATAGACGCTGTTGTGACCACATTTTTGCCGTTCTCTCTTCTAGAGACTTGCCGGAGAAAATCCCAGAGACCCTTAAAGTCATTGCCTTTGGCCAATAGACAAGCCATATCTCTGCAAGTGATCTCATTATGACCAAATCCGAAATGGATCTCGATCCAAAAGAAGAACTCCAATGCTTTCTGCAACCCGAGAGAGATTTTCTTAGGATCTATATACGCACCGGGACCTAGAACTAGGACTTCAGAACGACGTCGTTGTGATTCATCACTGAGGTTTCTCTGCTTTAACGGCGACCGGTGACGAAAACCCTTTTGCCGACCGATGGATCGTGGGGAAATGAAGAAGAATCTGGGGATAGAGCGGAGGACATCGGAGACGAGCTGCTGAGTCCATGGATTCGCGACCGTTGAAGAAGCGAGAACGGCGTCGAATGGACGGTTCTGGATCATTGCGGCAATAAGCTGATCAATAATGCGGTTACATAGCGGTTGCGACGGTTTCATGGCGTCCTATTTGAGTATCAAATACAAAGCTAAAAGCTTTAACACCAAACACAAGATCGGTTTTTTAAGTTTTTCCCAGAAAACACCAAACTACTTTCTAAATTTCCATTTAGCCCTATACTTTTAAATTGACTGATTCGGCCGTTCACTATAATTCGAAATTAAATATTTGATTAATATAGAATAGATACTGGTTTGTTGACAATAAAAATATATATAGATTCTGGTTTTGTATTTTGTTTTTGGGACCCTTTTTCCATAATTTAAGAAGTTATGTCGCAGAAAATGTTTACTTTTAGTGTGATTTTTGAATTCCTCTACTTGTAAGAAAATTCAATTTTACTTTTCATATCTTACAATCTTTCATCCCTCGCACTCAAAAACTTCAAAATGGTGGATTGTCTTTAGACATCCACATTCCACAAATTATACTACAAAGATGTGAAAACTCTAAGGACATTAGATATAGGACCCTAAACTTTTGAAAACTCCCATTTTAGCCCAACATTTGCTTTAATTTGATTTGAGCGATTCAAGAAGCTGTTCGGATGGCTAAAGAACCGATCGCGAGCCAAATGTGCTCAAAAGAGTCCAAACCCAACCCATTCAGCCTCGTTGGCGATTCGTGGCGAGAATCGGAGGGAAGAGAACGACGACTTGGGTGATTCCCATCTCGGAGAAACCGATCTCCGGCTAGAAACAGTCCACGGCGACATCGTCTCCATGTCGGAGCAGTAGTAATCATTCTCCGATCTCGACCCGGTTTTCCTCCGACTACCACCGCTCTTATTCTTCCTCAACCTAAACCTAGGCGACGGGAAACACCCGAACCCGGCAACAGAAAAATCGGAACTTGGTTCGGGTTCAGATCCGGGTCGAATCCGGTTAGGGCGGTGGAGCTGCCACCGTTCCGAGAAAGCACGCGGAGAGGATCGGAAAGAAGGACCCGGAGAGTAGAATCCAGCAAACGACGACGGTGTTGGTGGCGGCTTGAGCTTCGATGGGGTTGTAGAAAAGGAATGGGGAGTGAGAGGAGATAAAGGACGGCTTTTGGAGTTGGAGATGAAAGAAGAAGACGGTGGAGATAACGCCGGCGGTAGAAGAGGCTGAGAGTGAGACAAAGGTTTTAACCGGAGAGGAGAGAGTTTCTTTGGAGGCTGAAGAGGAGTAGTGTTACCGGGTTGAGACATTCGGGTTTTGGGTACACCGGGTCGGATCTCCCAGCTAAAAGGTATAGTTCCAGGTCTCTTGAATGAATCATCAACGTGGACAATGGCCATTTGATTTTTTTTTAGCTCTCAAGAAGAGACAAGAAACAAAACAAGAAAAAACAGAGATAGATAGATAGAAGAGAGATGACTTTAGAAGAGTTGGATTAAGAATGAGTTTAATGTCTTTTATATGACGAGAGAGGAGAGAGAGAAGAAAGAGAGATGAGAGGCGAGATTAGAGGAAGATAGGAGTGGGTGGCGGGAGAGATTAGACAAGTTTATCTCTATGTAATTTGACTTGGTTTCTATTGGTCCCTACCCATTTACTTAACTTTTCAATTATGCAATGGTCACCACAATATATAAACCCACACACAAAGATCTTTACTTTATTTGTTTTTTTCTCTTGAAAATTTTTGCATCTTTAATCTAAGACCATGAGACTATTTGTAGTAATAGATGGACAAAATCAAAGGGCTAAGATTTCAAATATCAAGTGCTCTAAAACAGAGTTACAGCACGCGGTGTTCATGATTTAGACGTGAAAGCACATACTAAACCAAACGAATTTGGGGTAAAAAATTCAAACTTTGAAATGATCAAATGACCTTTTCCCTACATGGACTCAAAAGGGCTAACCACTTAAGCTTTTGTCTTGTCTTGCAAAAGATTCCAAAACTGTAAATAGCAATTAGGCATGATGACAATAATGATACGTGTCACATAAGAGGAAACCAAACTTCAAAAGACCACACCACACCATGTCAGTTAAATGATTCTACTGGAATTGCGGAAACACTACAAATTGTATTCCTTGCTACATCCAGTAGCTGCAGATACCTTAATTGTTACAGTCTGATATAATGTTAAAACTTTATAACAAAAATTAATTGTTTACAAACCTAATCTAATAACCAGCTCTCTCTCTCTCTCAAGATACCTTAATGGAACACATTGTGAGACGGATATGATGGAGTTTTTGATCTTGTTACAAAGGATGTGAAATACAACCAGAATAAAATTCAAGAAGAGATGGAGTTGGAAGCGGTTCCTTAAGGGAAGGAGATAAATCGATTGTGAAATGTGCGATCAATGGCTCCTTTGATGGCTGCGGACGAGGTGGTAGTAGTTGAGAAGATTCTTACAAGTTATTGTTGATCCAAACAACTGAGAAGCACTCTGCGATACTCAAAAGAGATTGAATCAGATTTCCACGAGTGAGGGTCGGTCCAACAATAAGATTTCAGACAGTTTTTACCTTGTGATCGATATGGAGCTCAATGCTGAAAGAGATTGTTATGTACAAAAATAGAAGAAGATATAATATCACTTGCAATGCATTCAGCTCCAACACCCTGCATTTGTAGAGCTGAGGTCATCGTAAACCTCCTGTTAGTGTTATTAACTCACGGGTAAAACCACAAACTTTGCCTGAGAATAACAACAAAACGAAATAAGAAATGAACCTCATTTAATTTAAGAAAGAAAATGTAATTTCATCTGTCAGAATGATTGAAACAAGACATAAATCTAAACGAAATTGATTCTGACTTCACATAAATTAGTTGTTTCCTGCTCTTGTTTAAACCCTCTAAGGCACAGAGAAGGTTTGGTCATGCTTATGTAAGTCAGAGGGAAAAGTTTCGCGCTCAACTATAGTGGACCCACTGATGATCAAATACGCGTAAATCGTAACGGTTTCTGAGTTTAATCGACGGCCAAGATTGATCCGTTATTTCTTTATTAAATAGAAAATAGAAAAACCCCAAATCAAAGAAAAATAATAATAATTCCGCGTTTTATCATTTTCCGTTGTTTCTCGTCTCCTTCAAGATCTCTCTCTGCAGAACAGAAACCCTAAATCTCACCGGAAAACGATAACGCCGAGCCGGAGATTTCCATTTCTTCTTCAACAATGTCTTCTTCCTCTTCATCGAAGAACCTATCTCAGGAGAATCCGATTCCTCGTCCGAACTTAGCCAAGACTCGAACCTCACTCCGCGATGTTGGAAACCGTCGTGTTCCCCTTGGCGACATCACAAATCAGAAGACTGGATCAAGAAATTCTTCTTCGTCGTCTACTCTGGTATAATTATCTTTGATTCTCTCTACTTTTTGTCCCTTTTCAATTCCGGTGTTTGTTCGTCGAGAAATGCAGTTTTAGGGTTTATCCTGGAACCGAATCTGTAAATGTTTCATCTCTGAAGGTTCATTGTTCGAATAAGATCTCCCAATCGAAGAAAGCATCAAAGCCTGCTTTATCTCGTAATTGGAATTTGGGAATTCTCGATTGCGGTTTACCTCCCAAGTCAAATGCGAATTCAAACATAATCGTTCCTTACGAAGACACCGAATTGCCTCAAATCGATGATAGTCTTCTATCTTCATCACCTGGATTATCTGTTGATGCCTCTCCTACTCACTCAGACCCGTCAATTTCCACTCATGACTCTCTCAAGAGCCACATTGTAGAACACATGGTCGAGAGCAGTACTGATGATGGAAATGATGATGATGAGATTGTTAACATTGATAGTGACTTGATGGATCCACAGCTTTGTGCTTCCTTTGCTTTTGATATCTACGAGCATTTGCGTGCATCTGAGGTAGGATTTCTCTAGTGTTACCCTGCCACAGTTCTCATACTAACTTGATTCTGTTTCTGAATCGTCAAAGTTGAAAATTTGCTTAATCTTCCATGCAGGTAAAGAAAAGACCGGCCCTAGATTACATGGAAAGAATTCAGTTAAACATCAACGCTAGCATGCGTTCTATACTCATTGACTGGCTCGTGGAGGTAAGCTTTTGATGAATTCTGGTTCATTAAGGCAAGATATTTAGTTTAGATTGATAAGGCATTAAGTTCAGTAATAGACAAAACGTTTTATAGAATTTTCATTGGTAGGTGATATATAGTTTACAAAGCTGTTCTCTGGATTTTCATAAAACTACAGGTTGCTGAAGAGTATAGGCTTTCGCCCGAGACGTTGTATTTGGCAGTGAACTATGTAGATCGGTATCTTACGGGCAATGCAATTAACAAGCAAAATCTGCAGTTACTTGGTGTTGCCTGCATGATGATAGCAGCGTAAGAAATCTACAAATTTTACTCTTTGGTTTCATCCCTTTTCTTCTTCAGAAGTATGCAATTTCTAACCAGTAGACACTGAAATTCCAGAAAATATGAAGAAGTGTGTGTGCCACAAGTAGAGGATTTCTGTTACATCACTGATAACACATACTTAAGAAACGAGGTTTGTGTTTTGGTCTTCCCTGGAGAAAATTTTCTTCTTGTGGTTTTGATATGCTCGTAAGAAGTTGTTAACCTTTAAGCTTTCTAACAGCTTTTGGAGATGGAGTCTTCTGTTCTGAACTACTTGAAGTTCGAATTAACAACTCCGACAGCAAAATGTTTCTTGAGGTAGCTTCTGGTCACATTGATGTTAACTTCAATCATCATTTTTTGTGGTTCCCTGCTGATCTAGACTTGTAAAAATTGTGGTTAGGCGCTTTCTTCGTGCTGCTCAAGGCAGAAAGGAGGTATACTCTTATATGAAAATGAAAGATGAGCTCTCTACGCAATAGGTGATGTGTTAGATACGTTTCTGACTAGTTGCTGGCTTGCTGCTGCTTTCTATTAGGTACCATCACTGCTGTCTGAGTGTCTGGCCTGCTATCTCACCGAATTATCGCTGTTAGATTACGCTATGCTTCGATACGCTCCATCACTTGTTGCAGCCTCTGCAGTTTTCTTGGCACAATACATACTACACCCTTCAAGAAAACCATGGGTATGACCACAAAACTGTATCTGTACTCCTATTTTCCCCACTACTTAGCTTTATTGAACTCTGCGTTCTATTAAAACCTGCTGATTTCGGGTATTGCAGAACGCTACGCTAGAGCATTACACATCGTACAGGGCTAAACATATGGAAGCATGCGTTAAGAATCTTCTTCAGCTGTGTAATGAGAAACCCTCATCTGACGTGGTTGCAATCAGAAAGAAGTACAGTCAACACAAAGTAACAAGCACTCCACTTTCTTTATTATTAATAGCTTTCATATAAAATACTTGCAAGTGTTTACTCTCTTTTCTCTTCTCCTGGCAGTACAAGTTTGCAGCAAAGAAGCTTTGCCCCACATCACTACCGCAAGAGCTCTTCCTCTGCTAGTGTTTCTTTTTCTTTTCCCTCTTTTCTTGTAGATATTGTTGATAAAAACTCATCAACCGGGTCAGGCAAATATATTCAGTTCGATAGAGATTTGTAGATGAAAATACCACTTATCAATACAAAGGGCTGTTTCGTTACAAGTATATATGTGAACCGAGTTCTGAGCTATCGTCTATCGATGTTGTTGTGGTGGTTCAACTGCCTTTGGATAAAAGGCGGTTGAAGTGCAGACCAACCACCTCAAACGCCTTAAAAAGATGATCAAAGATTTGGAACAACCTTAGTTAATTGTTTTTCTTAACCGACTATAGAATATTAATTAAACTTGTAGTTTCTCAACTAGGATGAATTAAAACTGATTAGACATGTGAGAGAATATGCTGATGGGGCATGCTTGTTGGGTTCGGCGACGGAGAACAAGGTGGAGTCTAAAACTTTGGTTTCCAAAATCTATGAATGATTGGTTCTATTTGCTTCGTTGATTTCGGTTTTTGGGTTAAGCTCATATACAGTAATAAAGTTTGGACGACAAAGATTTAATGGTTTTGCAAATATTGGAAAAGTTAGTAACCACAATGTTCCTATGGTTGCCAGCATCTCTGTCTTGTTCAATTTATTACTAAACATTTGTAATGTTACTAAACATTTCGTTTCTCAAATTTGTAATGAACATAAAACATATAAAAAAAAAAGACCCGCCTCGGAATGATAGATTGACCAACAACAAGACCATCTGTTTTATTCAACTGTAAAATGCTATTACAGAGCTTGTTGGTTTCTAGTTGGCAGTATAAAAAATAGTGGTTCAATATTGATCAATTAGATCTGATGAGACAAAATTGTTGGTATCTAGCAACGAAGCAGGAGATTCTGAAGGTGCTATTCGATTATATATGACCCCTGGATGGACTAGAAGACTGACGCGGAGACTTCGACTTTGGCAAGGTTCCAAACGCTATTGATGAGACCGATTCTCTCTGCGGTATCGACTTTGCTTTTATGAATAAGCTTGATTCATAGAGTTTGGAAGACAAAGATTTGGCTGGCATTGCAGATGTTAGAGAAGCCAATAATCCACAAGACATCAACAACCAAAATGTCCATGTGGTTGCCAACATCTCGGCCTTGTTCATCTCTCTCTCGTTTTTTTTTTTTTTTTTTATAGATGAAATTATAAGTTATTATGGGTTAACTAAGTGTTTTAAATCGACTTATATACATCATTGAGAATGTTAGTTACATCAGATATGGATATAGGATTGTCGAATAGGAAATGCATGTTTATTGTTTGTGGCCTAAGTCAGACATCCCTCTACTTCCAAATGGGAAACAAAAACATCTTTGTTAGTCTAACCAAGTACGTGATAAGTAAATTTCATAGGAAAATGAAATTAAATGTAATAAAAATAGAAGAATAGTATTGAAGAATTGTGAGGAATATAAATGTAGAGGAATAGGGAATAATAGAAATGAGTATAAATATTTATTTTTATTTTAACTTTTTTGTTATTGACTAGGATCATCAAAATCATTAATTGTTATTTGTGGCTAATCAAAAAATTATTGAGGTGTGTAATTTTCAAAAGAAACAGTTGATTCAGTCAAGTGTCACTCGATTACGAAACACAAATTATTGAGTCCAAACAAAAATATATTCGTCGAGTCAAGGTAAGGCATTTTGAATTAAGTTGTTTGTGTGCAATTACATGTATAAATATGATAAATTCAAGTATCTCATTATGCTACCTAACGTTCAAACATTTCAGCGGTAACGGCATTGCAATAATAATAATAATAATAATAATAATTGATAAATAACTTTCTCCAGGGCTCGGTACAAAAACTTTATAATAATATTTAAAATTTCAAACATTTATACCTTTTTAAAATATTTTTATTAAAGTTTATCTAGTTCAGTTTTCATATAAATTTCCATTAAAAAACAACGGTAATTAATCACATTTAATCTCAAATAGAATTTCACAAACTCACCTAAATTGTTTTTCAAAGATTTTAATTCTATACAATTAAGTGAAATGAAGAATCATTACAACGTTTGCTTGCCATGCCGAAATGTACTCTCAAATTAAATAAAGGAGGTAAGAAAATAGAAATCCAATCCCATAATGTATTAGTATTTGTTTGCTTGCGAGTTGTCAACAAAGTGTAGTGCTAAGAAATTTCAATGATCATTACAATTGATAAATGCGATCTATAGTGGACGAAAGTTTATGATTTACCATATAAAATGTTGAGGATTGATTATTAACTCGTCTTTAGATATTTGTAGTCACGGAGTGGGTTGGTCAATAAATGACGAAAAGCTACAAGTTACAACGGAAAAGATTTTTTTTTTTTTTTTGAATAACCGCGGGTCTCTCAAAGGCTTCCTAGGCCCAAAGACTAATCCCACGAGGCTGGCAATTCCCCTATGTAAACCTGCCAGTGGCCGTGCCTCGAACCCTGGTGGCGGAAGTCACAGCTGTGACGCCTTTACTACTAGACCACAAGGCCCGGTTAGCATTCATCGATCACAGCAACGGAAAAGATTCTTATAGTGCGTAGTTACGATTCTTTTTTCTCTCTAAATAAGAATAGTTTCATACAAGATAGTTGTCTTAAGTCAATTGGTACCAAACCTTGCTTAAAAGATGTCAAAATATCAACAAACTATGCGTCATCTACTCATCTTGATCGTATAAAGACAATACATAATTTTCTTGAACTAAAATGTGAAACCAAAAAGTATTTACATGAGACCACAGTATTATTACTATTTAAAAAAATAGATATTTAATTTGACCAATATGTACTTCTTTCGTGTATCCATCAATAATACATGCTAACTTTATCATTTTAAACAATTGATGAAATATAAAATCATATTTGAACTCGGATTAAGAACCACGTCATTCTATATATAGCATATTCAGCTTGAAAAAATGAATTCTATGATAGGAGAAGTTCATTTTCTTTCCATGTAAATTATTTCGTGTTTAGTTGTGTAATTAGAATTCAAGACTTAGCTAGAATACAGATTCCTTTCTTTATGTTATCTTGGAAGTGCCAAACCTAATATTTTTGTAAGATCCTAACTTTTATTTAAATACTAATTATAGTACAATATCTAAAAAAAACCTAACCGATAATATATAGTAAGCAACGAATCAGATGCTTCTCTTTCTCTATATTCGAATGAGATAAATCGCGGCGTCTGAAAAGTGAAAAGGGAGAATTTAAGTGTTAGGATGATTTAGTACTCATGGCGATGTATACTCTTACAAATATAATAAAAATTAATAATGAAGATAACACTTTTTAAAGGGATCAAGTTGAAGAAAGTGCACTTGATATGATGAAAGGCGTTTCTGGTTCACTCTTTTAATTCGTTAATCGACATTGAGGATGGCTCTCCGTGTGTGCTTAATCAAGTTGATGATCTGAACCAAAGAACCCTATTCTTTTCCATGATCTCCTCGATCTTTATTATTATTTTTAATTATCTTTTCAATATACACATGGAAAGAAAAAACAATCAACCATTTCGAAGGACTGGTACATTTTGTATGCGTTTTTGCGGTGTAAGGTTTAAACTTGGAATTTTAAAGAATGATATCTTTTTGTATGAATATAATTCCCTTTATACATATGGAGACTATTTCCTTTTCAATTTTAGTCTAATGACTTGTCTGACGACAAATCTTCTCTTAAGTCCTTATAGGATATTTGGTTTCCCGCGAATCAAGCTTATGGTAGTAATGAAAAAAAAAAAAGTCTGTCTCTAGTACCGTGGAGAATTGGAAAGGAGAAAGTTTCCCAAAAAAAAAAAAAGCCTTTACTTTTGCGAAAGCAACGCACAATAACAAGAAAACTATTTTTCACGGTATTTTTGAAAACCAGCACGTTTTTTTAGTTTTCTAATTCAAATAAATAAACATTCATTTTACGTAGCTGGTGAACTCGATCGTGAGACACAGTTTCTTCTCCAACAAAATCCAATACATTTTGTGTATGACATTTATGTTAAAATGAGTTTAGTTGGCAAAGTAATCAAAATATTTCATCATTTCGAGAAGACGAGATAGCTTACACGCCTCATAGTCAGTTACCTGCAGCAGAAACTTCTATGGTGATATTCTTTCGAATTCTAGGTAAGATATATATGTGTGTGTTACTATTGATCATACTAAAAATCACCTTTTAGTTTTGAGTTATCATTTTGAAATCTACACATGATTGCGTGTACTCATTATTTAAAGTCGGCATCGATTTCTCCATATGCCATGAATGTTCGTTTAACATCTTTATGCGGTAACACTATACGTTAAAATACTTAAAGAAAAAAGTCAAGTTGTTTTTGTAATAAGGGAGTGTTGTTGGTTTGTAGTTTAAATAGTGTTTTAGTGACTTTAAATGTTATGTAGAATCTGTTGTTATTCGGTTAAAGTTTTTATTAAACTTTGTTAAAATGTTATTAGTTTTTTATTTGTAAAAACTTAAAAGTCTTCTAAAATATTCATAAATCTGGAGCTATTGGATTCATAATTTTATGAAGTTGATAAAAAATTTGTATTATTCAACTAAAACAAAAGAATCTCTAATTGTTAATGAATTAAATTATTATGTTATTGGTTTATGATTTTTTACATTTTTCTTCACAAAATAAAATTATAAATAGAGAGATTTTTTGAACGATGCTACGAGGCAAGAAGAATGTTGATTTTATTTTGTGAGATATACTATTAAAATCATAAATAGTATCATCAAAATAGAGAGATTTTTTGAAAATTTTACAAATGGAAAAACTAATCAACAAGATTAGAAAACTCTCTAGCAACAATTTATAATTTTTTTACTTATTTACATTATATGATTTTATTAAAGTCATCAAATTCCTTTAAACTAGAATCCAATAACACCACCTAAATTTGGGTGTCATGGGTTAATTAAAAGGTAAATTAGCGGAAATAAGTAAACCATCAAGTGATAAAGTGTAATTAATTAAGCAGTAATTAACCAAAATGCATAGTGTGTTATTTTTAAATAAACATTTTATTTTCTCTAATCTTATACTCCCTATGTTTCACAAAGAGGGTCGTTCTACCATTTTGCATACAAATTAAGAAAAGCATTTAAATTTCATTTTTACCCTTTATTAATACACTAAAATAATTTCTCTTTCTAATTAATAAGTTGAAAAAACAGGGATAAAACTGGGATTTTATTTAAAATTCTGCATTGAAAACATAAAACGACACTCTTTAAGGAAACAAAAATAAAACTTTAAAACGACATTCTTTGTGAAACGGAGGAGTACAATTGTTAATTTTCAAATTCTGCGCACAAACCCTTGCTAGTATAAGTTTATTTCATTGAATATACTCTAATAAAATCTAGTTGTAAGTGAAAATAGCATTAAGCTTCAACACACGTCCAGGAATGTTTTTTCAAAAATGTTGAACAATGACATTAAGTCCAAATGAAAACGATGGCAGCATCTTGGACTTCCAATTTTCCATGCCCATATTTTTCCTTTCTTCTTTGTTTTTTATTCAATACAATTTTTCGTATCGAATAATTCATATATCTCATGAAGTCAAATTTTTCAATAGTAACACTTGAGTAATGGGCCTACCAACTTTTTACCAATACAGATATATTTTCTTAATACACTTTTTTACTTTGTACTGTTTTGCCTCAAAAAAGAGAACACTTTTTTTCTGTGTATATAAATCTGCATTCCACTCTCAGTTTATCTTCATCCACAAGAACCAGACAGTTCTTCAACAAAGGCATTAAACATAACCCATACAATTTCCCTTATAGCTTCTGTCTTTACCTTCTAAAGGCCAACTCTTTCAAACACTTACTTTGCATGTAACTTCATACTTTGAAGTATTGAACATACAAACAAAAAACAGAGCAAAAAAAACAAAAAATGGTTCAACTCCACCAAACAGTTCTCGCCGTCGATATGCCACAAACCGGCGGCTCTAAGTACTTGGACGACGACGGAAAAGTCAAAAGAACTGGTAACAATGTTTCCTTTTTAGCTTCTTATTGAGAGTTAGCTATATAATTATTCAAAAATGTGTTATTTTGAACTCGGAACCTGCTCTGTTTTAGTTATGTTGGCAAAATGAGAAACTTGAAGTTTGAAAGTTTTTGGGTTTTAGGGAGTGTTTGGACGGCGAGTGCACACATAATAACGGCCGTGATAGGTTCGGGAGTTTTGTCACTGGCGTGGGCTACGGCGCAGCTAGGTTGGCTCGCCGGACCAGTGGTGATGTTGCTCTTCTCTGCAGTCACTTATTTCACTTCTTCTCTTCTTGCGGCATGTTACCGCTCTGGCAACCCTATCTCCGGCAAGAGGAACTACACTTATATGGATGCTGTCCGATCTAATCTCGGTAAATACAAAAAAAATCGAAGTAGAAATTGGACAATGGAGATCAGATCAGAACAAAAACATAACATTTTTCATTCTTCTGGATAGGTGGCGTGAAGGTGACGCTATGTGGGATTGTTCAGTATCTTAATATCTTTGGCGTTGCAATTGGCTACACAATTGCTTCAGCTATAAGCATGATGTGAGTGTCCTCATTAATTAACACTAAAACCTACGAAATTTGGTTTTTGATCAAAAAGACAAAATGATTGTTTTTGGAAAAACAGGGCAATAAAGAGATCAAACTGTTTCCACAAGAGTGGAGGGAAAGATCCGTGTCACATGAACAGTAATCCTTACATGATAGCTTTTGGATTAGTCCAGATTCTATTCTCTCAGATTCCAGATTTTGATCAACTTTGGTGGCTCTCAATCCTCGCCGCTGTAATGTCCTTCACTTATTCCTCTGCCGGTCTCGCCCTAGGCATAGCCCAAGTTGTTGGTTCGTTTTTCTAAACCAAAAATAACTTGTAGGGTCTTAAATTAAAAACGCAAAAAAGTAATAGGTTTTTTGTGTTTTGGTTTCATCAGTAAATGGGAAGGTGAAGGGAAGTCTCACTGGGATTAGCATAGGAGCAGTAACAGAGACACAGAAGATATGGAGAACCTTCCAAGCTCTTGGAGACATTGCTTTTGCTTACTCTTACTCCATCATTCTCATCGAGATTCAGGTACTCTATCTTCTTTACAAGACTGATGATCAAAGCCATTAGTTATTAGTCCCAACCTGAATCCTTTTTTTTTTTTTTTGGGGTCTGAAACAGGACACAGTGAAGTCACCACCATCAGAAGAGAAAACGATGAAGAAGCCAACACTTGTGAGCGTCAGTGTAACGACTATGTTCTACATGTTGTGTGGATGTATGGGTTATGCAGCCTTTGGAGACCTATCTCCGGGAAATCTCTTAACCGGTTTCGGGTTTTATAATCCTTATTGGCTTCTTGACATTGCAAATGCAGCCATTGTGATTCACCTTATTGGTGCATACCAAGTCTATTGCCAACCTCTGTTCGCCTTCATCGAGAAGCAAGCTTCCATTCGATTCCCTGATAGTGAGTTCATTGCAAGAGATATCAAAATTCCAATTCCAGGTTTCAAGCATCTCCACTTGAATGTCTTCAGGTAAAAATTCTTGTCTCTAAACTAATGGGATCTGAGTTTTAGACATGAGGTGTAGGTAGTAATAATCAAAGCTTTTGTATGGTGTGTGAAATGGCTTGCTCAGGTTGATATGGAGGACAGTGTTTGTGATCATAACGACAGTTATCTCAATGCTTCTTCCGTTTTTCAACGACGTTGTGGGTCTGCTCGGGGCACTAGGGTTTTGGCCATTGACGGTGTATTTCCCAGTGGAAATGTACATTGCGCAGAAGAAGATACCTAGATGGAGCACCAGATGGGTTTGCCTTCAAGTCTTCAGCTCAGGGTGTTTAGTAATTAGCATTGCTGCAGCTGCAGGGTCCATAGCTGGAGTACTTCTTGATCTAAAGTCCTACAAGCCATTTCGAAGCGAATACTGATCAGCTTGAGACTTAACCATTTCGAAGCGATGACTGAGTCAGTTTTAAACACAAACAATATATCAAAAACGGTCAAGAGAACCAATAACCATGAATTTGGGAATTTTAATCAGCTTGTTTTTGATATAGATAAAAGCAATAATGCTGTTAGTTCTTCTCTGTACCCTGAAGGCAAGAATTGTAGTCCTAATGAGTAAATCTTCGATTAATTGTCATGTGCTGCAAAAGAATCATGAACTGGCAGCATAATAGTATATTACCAATAGAAGAGCTTTGACAAACAGCCATTGTGGTAAAATTGCAATTCCAACATACTTGTTCTTGTACTTGCTATTCTTTCCCTAATCTAATCCTTTGCCGTATGAACCATTCACTAAGGCACACAAGTATGGATTATTTAAGCGAAACAATCACCAGAGCAGTGCAGTAACAAAAGATCAAGACTTTATCAATGCAATCATAACTAATATAACTGAGTCATTCAGTCTACAACTACCAAAGATTTCTAGTTCCTGTAAAACACATACTACACATTCGAGGTCCTAAAAATCAACTTGCAGCAAGAAGGTTTTGCAACTGACCACTCTCCAAAGCAGCTCCAAGATCTGAAGCAAGATAAACAGCGCCAAGGCTTGTGAGTTAAAAGGGAAATTTGGAGAAAAGAATGAAACTTGGAGGAGACAGTGAGATCATCATACCATCTGATCCACCAATGTGCTTGCCGTTTACAAAAACTTGCGGGACAGTACGACGACCAACGAATTCTAAAAGCTCATACTGGATTTGATCTCCGTCCTCTGCAAAAACAAATCTCCCAAAAAGTTGAAATTCAACAAACTAAACCTTAGTCACAAAGAAGGTAAAGGTGAGAAAGAAAGTGATACCTCTCTGATCAAGCTCCACAACAAATGGCTCTTCCTTAAGTTGGCTGAAGATACGTTTCGACCGCAAGCAATACCTAACACATCCAAACAAAACTCACAACTTTCACGACTAACCTTAATCAAAGACTTGGAATTTTGAATCAGTCACCGTGGAATGTTGCATAAATCACAAAATTTCAATTGCAAAGAAAGAGGAGAAATTTACGGGCAGTAGGATTTGGAGAAGATGACGATCTTGTTGGACAAGATGGCGTTCTGAACGAAAGCCGACACCGAATTCGCAGCTCCCGCAGAATTTGACAAATCGCTGATAACCACTAGTAATAGGAGCGCCGCCACGGCAACACGGCGAGGACTCTGGTCAACCATCGCCGTTTCGATCACACGCTCGACGAATGTAAAAATCTCTTTTTTTTTTTTTTTTTTTTTTGGTTTTGGTTAGGTGATTTATTGTTGGTTTGGGATTCATTTATTATGGCTCCCAATAATAAACAGACACATAGTAGCACATTTATTTCACTTTAAAACGGTGCGTATCCTCGTCTCTCTTCAGTCTCCGACGCCGTCGCCGAGTGGATTAATTCTCCGGTGACAAAAACCACTGTTCCTGAAAACAGACACCACTTGATTCATACAGGTAAAAAACACAAATCTTTTTCCGTGCATTGGCTTGTGTATTTATTTGTGTGCACAATAATATATTGTTCATCAACTGTTTGACGAAATGCCTCAGTGAAGCGTTTTAGGATTAGATCACTTGATTTTTAGTCGAGTGATTGATTGTTTATACGTATTCCCTCACAGTTATGTTTTTTGTTATGGGAATGTAGCTTTGCTCTTACGGTCTGAGTGAGACTCAACATGACGATGATCAGAATTCTCAATCGTCAATCCAGATTGTGTTCTAAGAGTTTTCTGTCTGCGAGGCTGTATAGTTCAAGCGAACAAGTGAGAGATGTTGCGGATGTGGCGAAGAACATATCTAAAGTATTGATGTCTTCTCCACAACTGGTGATTGACTCGGCTTTAGATCAAAGTGGGTTAAGGGTTTCACCAGAAGTTGTAGAAGATGTTTTATATAGATTCAGGAATGCTGGTTTGTTGGCATACAGGTTCTTCCAATGGTCTGAGAAGCAGCGGCATTACGAGCATAGTGTTCGTGCCTACCACATGATGATTGAGTCTACGGCAAAGATTAGGCAGTACAAGCTCATGTGGGATCTCATCAATGCAATGATGAAGAAGAAGATGCTAAATGTCGAGACTTTTTGTATTGTAATGAGGAAGTACGCCAGGGCGCAGAAAGTGGATGAGGCGATTTACGCGTTTAATGTGATGGAGAAGTATGATTTACCGCCAAATCTTGTGGCGTTCAACGGGTTGCTGAGTGCTTTGTGTAAATCCAAGAATGTGAGGAAAGCACAGGAAATTTTCGAGAATATGAGGGATCGGTTTACGCCTGACTCTAAAACCTATAGCATATTGCTTGAAGGATGGGGGAAAGAACCCAACTTGCCCAAGGCAAGAGAGGTTTTTCGGGAAATGGTTGATGCGGGTTCTCTTCCGGATATAGTGACCTATAGTATAATGGTTGACATACTTTGTAAAGCTGGAAGAGTTGATGAAGCTCTTGGCATTGTGAGGAGCATGGATCCAAGCATTTGCAAGCCGACAACTTTTATCTATAGTGTGCTTGTACATACTTATGGAACTGAGACCCGCCTTGAAGAGGCGGTTGATACGTTCCTCGAGATGGAAAGAAGTGGAATGAAGGCTGATGTAGCGGTTTTCAATTCATTGATCGGTGCATTTTGCAAAACAAATAGGATGAAGAATGTGTATAGGGTTTTGAAAGAAATGAAGAGTAAAGGTGTGACGCCTAACTCCAAGTCATGTAACATCATTCTACGCCATCTAATAGATCGAGGGGAGAAAGACGAAGCTTTTGATGTCTTTAGGAAGATGATTAAAGTGTGCGAACCAGATGCAGACACATACACTATGATGATAAAGATGTTTTGTGAGAAGAAAGAGATGGAGACAGCGGATAAAGTGTGGAAATACATGAGGAAGAAAGGGGTGTTCCCTAGTATGCATACATTCTCAGTTCTTATTAATGGGTTGTGCGAGGAGCCTAACACTCAAAAAGCTTGTGTTTTGTTAGAGGAGATGATCGAGATGGGGATTCGACCATCGGGTGCGACGTTTGGTAGATTAAGACAGCTGCTTCTCAAAGAAGATAGAGAAGATGTGCTTAAGTTTCTTAATGAGAAGATGAACGTTTTGGTCAATGAGCCTTTGTGTGATTGACTTTCTTAGCTTTCCTGTGAACCGCTGAGAATAGTACGTTTCACAACAGCTTATCGCCTTATCCTAAGCATTCTGCACATAATTTGTTTTGTTTGAAACTTTGGATGGATCAAGATCCATTTCAATTGTTGTAAAGTTGTAATTGAAGTTGAATCAGCGATTTTTGCGGTCTCAATACATGACATATAAAATAAAGAGATGATACAAACCAGTTGATTTGCACGGTAGCAAATGATAAAATATCAAGGCCAAAAGACTCAAACATAAACCCAACTAAAAACGATGATCTCTTTATAATTATAAGCTGCAAGAGAAACAAACCTACTTCTCACATCAAGTATAAGATGCGGATTTTGGATTAAAGTTTCTAAATATCTCAGTTCATGAAGTTGGAAGTGTTCTTAGACATTCTAGAGCCAAAATCTAAGTCCATAATAACATGTCCTCACCAATTCCATTATCTGGTTCAGTATCTCTTAGATTTGGACTCAGTTTTGGATAGCATGTATCCAGAGATCTTATTCACCTCGTACAATAGCCCAGCAGAGAACAAGAAACTGCAGGCAGATCAAGAAACAGCAACACAATCACCACACTGCTTTTAGCGAGAGAGGCATGAAGTAATTAAACAAGGAAAATGGATATATCAAGCAGAGCTAGTGAATTTCCACTTACCAGGTTGTGATACAAACCCGATGAACCGTGCTAGCAGCAATAAGAGCTATGATTTCTGCAAGAATGACTACCATGGAAACAAAAATTGGCTTCAATACATTGCAAACCCTTGTTGAGTATACCACTTTCACAAAGCAGAAGCAGGAGGAGGCAAACAAATTCGAGCCATTTATCATTTGTGAGAGAAGACATGATAGGTGATACAGAGAAGACATGAGATGAAAAAATTTGGGTTACAACAACCGATTCACTAAAAGAGTCTTTGTAACACATAATGACATAAAAGCGAAAGTTTTTGTAATATGTTATCAGAAAGTGAACTTAGAGCATCATCATCAAAGATTCAAAATTTCATCTCTTAAGCCCTCAAACTTGTGAAGTGGGGTAGAGTAGACACACAATGGTTTTGATCTTATGAACAAATATGATTTCACGAAGAAGTAAGGACATACCTGCACCCCAACCACTCTTGATGCCAGAAGATTCCTGAAAATTGCCAATGAACTGCAAGTAAAAGAAACCGCATCAATCCAAACTTTCAACAACAAATGTAGAGGAATTCGACAAGAAAACAAAAGATCTCTCACATTTAAAATAAAAAAAAATTGAGGAGCTTACAGTGAGAGAAAACAAAAAGAGGAGAGAGCTTGTGAATCCACCAAGGATCGTGAACAGCTCTGAAGAAGCTAATTTTCCTCTGTAAATTTCTTGAAGCGAGAGGATCACTGTAAACACAAGAAGAGACCCTAGCATCGATGTTCCAACAGCTCCTGCCATGCTTCTTCTAAATCCCAACCAAACAATCAAATTAAGACCGTAGCAGATTATCAGACTCGAATTTGTAAATAACTAATCCACTGGTCGGAAAACGAGAAATAGAAGAATGTGATGAGTTACCTTGAAAGCCCTAAAGATCAGATCTTCTCTTCTCTTCTCCTCTCGCTCGTCACTGGCCACAGTTCCACTTGGAAGACCGGCGAATCGGAACAAAGGAGATCGAGAAAATTTAAGAAATGGGAAAATTGGGAATTCGCATTGACCATAAAATACATGTTTATCATCAATATTACAGATATACCCTCGCGGATGGATCAGGCGCTGTATCGAACGCAGTCGTTTTACATAACAAAACGACGTAGTAATGACTCACTTGAGTTTGGTAGAAGTCCCGGTTTAATTAACCGTCTGTATAATAAACCAATGCAGAATACCAAACGTAATAGCCACGGAGCACTGTACCGGGTTTGAGATAAAACCCCTAAACCCTACTGTTGCTTGAATATGGACGTAGAACTTTCCGACGATGAGAATCCTTCCACTTCCCTCTCCTTCTACTTCTTCCGGTTACCTTCTCCGGCGAAGGCCGTTCTCCTCCGCATCATCTCTGCTTACGCGTAGACAGTGTCTCAATAGCAGAGTCTGACCCTTCTAATCTTCCATGTCGATTACTCTCAATTGTCAAATTGGCAGAACAATCCATCTCTAAAATCATGTCTCTTCTCTGTTTTCACTCAATCTTGATCCTCAGACAGCTCTCACTTTCTCCGATTGGATCTCTCGGATACCAAAATTCAAGCACAACGTTAGTTCATACGCATCTTTGGTTAGTCTCCTCTGTAGACATGGAATACCTCATGAGATGCCTAAGATCACGTTATTGATAATTCAGCGCGAGAAGCTTTGTTTGTTGTTGATTTCTGTAGGGAAACGAGTAAAGACGATAGCTTTGAGATTAAATACATGCTTAGTCCTAAATGCTATAATACTCTGTTGAGTTCATTGTCTAGATTTGGATTAGTCGATGAAATGAAGAGACATTATACAGAAATGTTGGACGATTTGGTTTCTCCAGACATTTACACGTTTAACACATTGGTTAATGGGTATTGTATGCTTGGATATGTAGTAGAAGCAAAGCAGTATGTGAGTAGGCTTATTCAGGCTGGTTTGACTCCTGATTATTTCACATATATATACTTCTTTTATTACGGGTCATTGTCGAAGAAAAGAAATCGATGCAGCTTTTCAGGTTTTTAAGGAGATGTCTCAGAACGGTTGCCATAGAAATGAGGTTTCCTACACTCAACTTATATATGGTCTTTGTGAAGCAAAGAGGATTGGTGAAAATGAAAGATATATGACAACTGTTGTCCTAATGTTCGTACATACACAGTGCTTATAGATGCTTTGTGTGGATCAGGGAAGAAGTCAGAAGCTCTGAATTTGTTTAAGCAGATGTCAGAGAGTGGCATTAAGCCTGATGTTTATATGTATACTGTGCTTATTCAGAGCTTTTGTAGTGGAGATACACTCGATGAAGCTAGTGGGTTGCTAGATCATATGTTTGAAAATGGGTTGATGCCAAATTTTATTACATACAATGCATTGATCAAAGGGTTTTGTAAGAAGAATGTGCACAAAGCAATGGGACTGCTTAGTAAGATGCTAGAGCAAAATTTGGTTCCAGACTTGATAACTTATAATACATTGATTGCTGGACAGTGTAGCTCTGGTAATTTAGATAGTGCATATAGATTGCTTAGTTTGATGGAAGAAACCGGATTGGTTCCGAACCAGCGTACATATAGTAGTTTCATTGATTTTCTATGTAAAAATGAGCGGATTGAAGAAGCCCGCGAACTGTTTGATTCCTTTACGCGTAAAGGAATAAACGCAGATGTGGTCATGTACACTTCTTTGGTCAATGGATATTGTAAATTTGGGAAACTCGATGATGCTCGAATGTTGTTTGATAGTTGCTTGCCAGATTTGTATACTTTCAATGCCTTGATACATGGGTTATGTAGTAATGGAGAATTGAAAGAAGCCTTGTCACTCAAGGAAAAGATGGAGAAGATAGGGCTACAGCCTACACAAAGTACATACACGACTCTGATTGCAAGAATGCTTAAAGAAGGAGATTTTGATGAAGCCGATAAATGTTTTAACGAAATGTTGTCCTCCGGACAAAGCCTGATGCGCAGACTTATGGGTCATTTATCTCGGCGTATTGTAGTGCAGGGAGATTGCAAGAAGCAGAGGAGATGATGAAGGAAGAAGATGTTACTCCGGATGAGTTCACTTATACCTCAATGGTTAAGGCTTATGGATCTCTAGGGCTGACTTATTCTGCATTTGATGTCTTGAAGCGTATGTTGGATACTGGTTGTGAACCTTCTCACCATACATATTTGTCTCTGATCAAACACTTGTTCGAGATGAAACATATGTCAGCGAAAGGTGGTGAAACAGGAAGTTATTTGCAAGAGTCCCCGGATATTATGTGGGGGATGATGGAGTTTGATATCGTTGTCGAACTTTTTGAGAAAATGGTAGAACATGGGTCATGGGTGTAACCCTGATGCTAAATGCTATGAGAAGATCTTGTTATAGGGATCTGTGAAGTTAGGAATCTAGAGATAGCACAGCGATTATTAAATTGTATGGAAGAAGGAGGAATAACTGTAAGTGAGAAGATTTGTAATGGTCTTCTTAGATGTTACTATAAGCTGCAAAAGTATGAGGAAGCTGCAAAGGTTGTGGAAGATATGATATGCAATGGTCACTCACCACAACTAGATTTTTGCAAAATGTTGATTTGCAAGCTGTATGAAGAAGGAGAAAAAGAGAGCGGCAACTCGGTTTTCAAAAAACTGCTTCGATGTGGTTATTGCGATGATGAAATCGCTTGGAAAATCCTTATCGACGGTGTGCTTAAACAGGGCTTTGTAGAGGGGTTCTGTGAGTTGTTCCAAGTAATGGAAACAAGTGGCTGCAAATTTATCTCTCATACACGATCAATGCTTATTAAAGGTCTTCAAGGAAAAGATTGATTACATTTTACCAACCACTTAAGTCACTTTGGTTGGTTATACATTCTAAACTGAGTACTTGATGTTATATATTATGTACTTTTTTGTTACAAAGATAACATTTTGTAAGCTTTTGTGGTTCAGTCCTAGTGCCAAAATGAAACCGTAGACAAATGTAATTGAAGTTTCTACTTTCTTGGTCTGGTTTTATAAAAATATAAAGAAAAGTGACTAATTATAAAAATGTAATTTGAAATAATTGTGGAAACGTGAAGATGGGTGTAAGAAATGATTAAAAAGAGAGTTTTGACTTATTGATAATGCAGTTAATTAGTTTGCAATAAATTGCATTTGAAGTTGGCTCCTCCGCGTCAATGGAAAGCCAAGAATCGTAGACCATGGCGTGTTATATGGTTCTATGTACATTGATTCTGTGCCCATCAAATTGCATACATCATACGTTTCGATATACATAAATTTATTTTATTTTAACCATCAAATATATACTAGATGTCAGAAATGTATAACATTATATTGTATCATCAAATACTTTTTAAAAATATAACACCACACTTGAATTTGAGTCGAAAAAGTCACTTTTCAGTTTTCATACTAATAGAACTAATTGCACTTAGATTAACATTAATGTCAGAATGTGTATTAGTAATAGAGCCAATGGATCAAGATTCAAATCTGTGTTAATATATAGTTTTGCCGGTAAAGAATGTTATATACATAGTGTGTTTCACACCAAAATATACGGGTTTTTTTGGTTAGTGCAAAAGAGAGTAAAAACCATAATATATAATTGTATAGTTGAAGACGGTAAATGAAGAACGAAGATCCCCAAAAAATGTCGGTAACGGTTATAAAGATAAGAGAAAGATTAGAGACGTAATAATAAGTTTAATAAGGTCAAATTAGTTGGTCCAAAATATATGGAAACGAAACCGACCACGTCTCACTATTTACTTTGCGGAGTAAACACACTTTTAGCCAATGTGTTCTCATTTTCTCCATAAGTTAATATACAAAATGAAAAATTATTTTGAATTAAATACCTCACAGAGTCAATAAGCAAACCAAGAAGATAATGTTTTTTTTAAAAAATTTATTATTAATTAGTATTAAAAGTTTATTTAAGTAGTACGTCCACTAGATTTGAGGATTTATAGCACTGTCGACATTAATTCTTTACAAACTTTAATTAGTATTTTAATTTTCTTTTCATCAAATCAAGCTCATATAATATCGAGGAAAATGTTCATACATTGAACTAAGATTAATAATAGGCTGGTTACTAAAAGTGGTCGTTTCGTTATGAAATTCGGTTTTTTTTTTTCACAAATTTGAAATTTTATGTCAACATTAAACCAAAAAAAACAGATGAAAATATGCTATAATTTTCTTATGGTATATTTTTCAACATATTTCGATTGACTGATTGATAGAAATAAAATTTGGTGCGCATGCATAAAATATGAGGCCACTACTTCATCAACCTTTTAACGATAAAAGATATTACAATTAAGGTAAGCTTTTTAATCCATAGATTCGATTGCTGCAACATAAAAGAGACATAGATCACTCGGCACCATGTGATTCACTCAATTGTCCTTCAAGACTATTTAATCCAATATATTTATCCTTCTTTTAATTTATCAACTATTTCTGTTATATATCAGTTTGTTTTTTAAAAAACAAATGAGTAAATTATAGGGTTGTTGTCAGTATTATTTCTCGTTGATCTTTACTAAAACAGTGGCACGGGGGAATGCATTTGGATTATAATTATTTTACTTTCTTATGGATCGATGATTAATTAAACAATCTATTGGTTCAAACGCCACTTCCAAGTGTAAGCCCATGTGATTATGGACGGCTTGCTTCTTTCAATTAAAAAAAAAACTTAAATTTTTTAATAGATTAATTTGGAAAGAAAGGTCTTAAAATTTAGTTTATGCTTATTAAAATTGTTTGGTGCACATATATATTACTACTTTATGGTTTATAATGGTACAATGGCTATCTGCATGTGAAACAGTGGGAGCAAACAGATGACAATTTTTTTAATACTTATTAAGTAATATAAAGTAATATAAATCATGAAATGGGAAAATATTAATGTCAATACTAGCAAAGCAAAACATATACTAATAGCTAAGGATCCAAACAGCAAACAATTATCATCACTAGCTACTAGCAAAATCAAATAATTAAGATAGAAATCTAACTCTACGACAAACTTTGATCATCTACGTTTTATCAAATATAAATTCATTTTTAAGTTTTTTAATTAAAATGAAGCAAAAAAAGATATAATAAATACACCGACATATGGGAGAATGGAATCAATTAATGAATTTTTCGTAATTTATAAAAAGTCATGTTAGAAACATACTTCAACCTTTAGTTTAAATAACAAGAATCCAATGTCAAAAACTTAAAGAAAACAAACGGAATAAACCACATATATATTTGCTATTAAAGTACACCTAGGGAAGTACATCAGTACATTGTGAAACAATATAAAAGATAATTAGTACTCCCTATGTTTCAGTTTAGTTGTCGTTTTAGGATGTAAATTTTGTTTCATAATAGTTGTCGTTTTAGGTTTTCAATGCAAATGTTTGGTGAAAATTCCAGTTTTATCCCTACTGTTTTAATGTTTTGGCCAATGAATTTTTTTATAAAATATAATAATAAAGGGTAAAACATAAAATTTAATGTTTTTCTTACTTTGTATGAAAAAACTTTAAACGACAATTAAAACGAAATGGAGGGAGTATTTTTTTTTTTGGAGGAAGATTTTTACTAGTATTAATAATGTTGCATATCACAATTATCAAGATACAAATTGTCAAAAAAAAAAAATCTTATTGTTTTGAAAACAACGTTGCCAAAAAAAAAAAAAAAAAAAACTCAATCTTCATCTAGCATTAAAAATGAAGAAAGTCTACTTTTTGTGATTATAGTTTCATTTAGAATATTGTGGTAGATGAGTGGTATTTTTGAATAAATTTTACTGTAATTAGTCCATCAAAATGATATTTCAGAAAACTATTGTTTTTGTAATAGTGGACCACTTCAAATATTCTGAAATGAGCTAATCCTACTCTTTTTCTACCGAATTGATCGTTAGAAAAAATAGTTGGCGATATTGATCTCAACCTCGTTTGTTTTGTTTTTGTTTAGTTCTCCTCTGTTTTGATAATATAAAAGATTAGTTGGAAATTATAGACATAGAGAGACTTTGTTTGTTATTGTGATCATCATATTCAGACAAAGGCATGGAGATGGATGAGGACAAAAAAGAGGCATCACCTGCTCATGTGTCCAGCAGAGATGCCTTTGCTGTACATACAATTATTTCCACTAGTTAGTAACCTTTCCTCTAATTTTATAAATGTTTTTGTTAATTATCTTCTAGTATTATACTATTTGGTTAGCTTAATTTATACAACATAAGTGGTATATGTTCTTAAATGTCTTCTACAATTGATATAAATAAAAATACTTATAGAGTTACAGAAATCCTCCATGTTCCCCTAATTTGTTCACGTACCATGAAAACAAAGCTTATTATCTATTTTGGGATATAATTAGCTAACCTATTATTACTTGTAAGCTATAAGAGGCAATAAATAAAATAAAAACCATATCTCTGTCTATATATAAAAGAAGTATTATATTACTCTGTATGATCAATTTCAAACAAGAGTAACCACTTTAATATATGGTTCTAGACCTGATTATATATCACTAATTCATTAAGGAATTTATATAAGATCCATATTATATTTTTCAAGTTTTAAGTCCAAAACCAAAATATTAGGACTTTTGACCTATTCTTGTAAATTCTTGACTAGGACTTGATATATAACATTGATAGCGGATTCGTAGCATATAATTTAAACTTAAGACTCTGCAATAGTGTTTTATAATCGATTGAACTAACCGCTTTCTGGTAAAATATTCTAACACTCTACTGTTTTTAGAGAAGTGGGTTCAAATTATGTTGCTAAATTGCCTAAATAGTGTCCATTAAAGCTATTCGCGAATAGGTTTTACATGTAATAGGTTAATGAATGTGTACATGTGTGTATATATAGTGTATACTCTTGCGATCGTATATACTTTTTATTTGGCAAAATAGTAGTAATAGACTTTTTATTTTACTAAACTGAAATTAACGGTGAAACCGGTTAGGTCGCGAAAGAGATCAGTCAAAGCCTGGCGAGATCAGTACGGTTTCATTAATGCCAAGGATTATACAAATGTTTAGAATTAATTCCTTAATCTTTAGTAGTAGTAACATTTTATTTTTAAAAACATAAAAAGTCAAGAAGATGGACTAACTGTAACAAGAACTAAATGATAATTTAAAATTTTCTAAACGCATCGATTTTTGTGCATCCCATTTTATTAAGTAATCTTTTCAATATGAAACTGTAATAAGATTCAAGTAGTTATGCATGCTTAATAAATAAAACATAACGTAAAAATGAACGATAAATAAAATAAAGAGTATTATGACTATCTATGCTCAGACAACCAAATAATTAAGTATGTATGCATGCTTTTTTTTTTAATTAAGTGAATAAGAGAAAGATTGATGTTTTGACAGTTTTACCCTTTTCTTCTATATCTAATTATTTGTCTTTCTCTTTCATGTTTTATGGATCTTCAACATTATTTCCAGAGATTTTTCGTTGTTATTTCCAATCACCATCTCTCTTCCAAACTCTCCTTTTTCTTTGTTGTCACCTCTATTTCTTCACAAACTAAATCTAACTCTTCATTTGGCTCATCAACTTTAACGTTTTTATATGCAACACACAATCATCACTAAATAAATTACAAAAATAGAGAGCTTGAAAAGAGATACAAAGATAAGAAAAGGATAGAGAGTACTTACACAAGTTTAGAATTGATTAAACTTTTAATTTGAAGAATTTGGGGAAGAAAATTATGGAAAGGACGAAGAGAAAGAGGTGGGAAAAGAAGAATTTTGGGATAGAGTTGCAGGTGACAATGGAAGAAGAAGAAACAAATTTTGGGAGACATGATGACGGAGGAGGATACTTGAGAAGAGAAGAAGATTTTTTTTTTTTAACGTCCACGATAACACATAAGTTAACTCTGATAAACAAATTATCATGATAAATAAATATGCTAATGTATAAGTTAGCGGTAATAAATAAATTATTAAAATAAATAAACATGTTATTATATAAGTTAGTTGATAACAATCATATGATAAATATTTTAGTACGATAAATATAAGTTAACCATATAACTTTTAAAGTTACCGTGATACAATATGAATTATATTAATAATTAAATAAATAATCATTAAAATCACTATCTTTTTATTGTCTCTCATGATGAATAATGTTTTCGATGTTGGTTGAACAATGTTTTTACTTTTTAGTTATCACGATACAATTTGACTTACA